ATTCATACATTTGCTCAGTCAGCATGTTAAACACCTCCCATAAACTGTGGCAGGCCTGTGGGAGTTACAAATACATGAGTCCAGCCTGGTCCTGAGTAGCCACTACTGTGTGTTTGGAAGGGAATCAAGGTAAAGGGAGCTGAAAGTGGTGCAGAAACAACAGAAGCCAGACATTGCAACTCAATATTTGATCATGTACAAACCAGATCCTAATAGGTAGACCCCTTCCCAGGCTCATTGGAGGGGCTGGTATTGTGGCCACTCTGGGAGGTCAAGGGGGAAGTGATAAAAGTGACATTCAAAGTGCTGGCATGATGTTGAAGCTAGTAAGGAAGTTTTGTGTGACTATAAAAAGCTGGTAGTTTCACATACAGCAAAGAGATGAGATCTTACAGTCAGGTGCTCAGCCTGGCATATGGCATCGAATTAGGCTGTATGTCTGATTTAGGGGTAAAATTTTGGCCTCATCCACCCTGGGTATTCTTAGGAAAGTCATTCAGCCTGATTTATCTGAATCAACAATTTCCACAGAGACAAATCCACTTGCAGCATGGACAACTTTGTGTAGTTGATAGGTTACTCTCCTTTTAAGTTATCTCCATCCAAATTTGCCAGAGGGTCCCTCCTGAACTACACTGGTCTATGCTGTCTTTCATAGCAACATCAGAAAAAGAGAAAAAGAAAAAAAACTGTTGAGCTCTCTGTACTGGATTATGATGGGAGCTGCATTTGAGTACTGGGGAGCTGCATTTGAGTACTGTCTCCTCTGCTTAAAATTGTAGCGTTAACTTAAGAAAATTACTTTTCTACTTTGAGTTTCACTTTTTCAGTCTGTGAAATATGTTTGGTGACGTCTCCCAAGACTGTGAAGTCTTAGTGAGATAATAGAGGTAAAGCAATTAACATAGCACCTGGTCTAACTCAGTAATTGTGAACCGTTATTGTATTTTTCTCCCTTTTATTTGGAATAAACATATTATTGCTATGAGTAAGGTTTGAAGCCTAGCACAGGTCAGTGGCTGAGCTGACATCTATTTCTTAAAGACACAGGGATCTGAAAGGATAGACCAAGAGTGGGAAATGCATTTTTTTCCTCTTCTTCCTAAACCTTAATACAATGAGAAAGTAGAAGCTATGCTTTTGGAGAAATATACACTTCAGGTAAAATTAACTTTGCCAACTTTGTCTTTTCAGAAACAGACTTCCTGGTGCCAGGTATTAGAAGTATCTCACAGCAGCAATCAAGTTTGCCTAGAGTAAAGGGAATTTACAAGGCCTAAGACATCATGCATTGGGCAAGGATTGTAAAAGTCATGAAACTTGTAATTACAAAAGTTATGATCACCCAGAGGGGGAGCAGGTGGGGATTCAATCTTCCAGTAAATTGGGCACTATCTACAGGGAAGCCAAGGATTCCCCGAAGCTACCCACTGGGAATGCCTAGGAGATAAGGGGAAATGCATCTTCCATTAGCTCTAAGGAATGTTGTTTGGGAAGGTGCAGGAGCATTAGAATCCTTGTCATGCCCTTCTCTAGGGGCTATGACAATATGGACAGACATTAATGGGTCTCTGTGTCACAGGTTCTCCAAAACATCCATAGGTGGTTGATAAGGAAGTCATGGCAGTCACATCTACCTGACTGCAACATCTCCAAGGAAAAGGATTTAAGCCAGGGCTTTGAGGGGCTACGGTGCCACACTCACCTAGAGTGTAGGCCTACGCCCTGTCTGTGAGGGGCGAGCTTTTCTTAAATACATCTTGCCTTCTCTCACCTCTTTGTGTGTTGCAATTCTTTGCATTAACTTGGATCTCTGGGTTGCCAGCACGTACCTCCAGCTTGCCAGCTCCAGTGGTGCTGCGCCCCTCCCTGCTGCGCCTCTCCCTCTCCATCCATCCACCCTCACCCTATCTGGATCCTAACAGGATCCACTAAGGTTTCTCAATCATGTATGATGGAGGTCATCTAAGATAACCCCTCCTTTCTTTTTCTCTCCCATTCTTTGAGATCTTAGAACAGGATGCCCCACTAGCCATGGAGCTTGGTTAATATGTTCAAGACCCTTGGCTGCAAATGGCAGGATCCCAACTCAAATTAGCTTAAGCAAAACAAGGGACTTTATTAGCTCAGATAGCTGGGAACTTTAGGGCTTCAGGCACAGCTGGATTTACAAGGTTCAAATAATGTTCTCTGGGCTCTTTCTTCCATTCTCTGATTGTCTCTTTGTGGTATAGATATTGACCTCTCAGAAATCCAGATTCATGTCATCCTAGCCTAGAGACTCCAGTATGGGGGTAGAGTGGAGTGGATTACTTTTTCTCCTAGTATGTGTTTATAATCAATTTAACAATAAATTTTGATTGACCCTACTTGGGTCCTATGCACTCAGAAAAAAATGTTCTTTTGGGAGGGGCATAGGTGGAGTGATGGGGAACTTGAAAACTTTAATCTGGCCCAGCCTGAGTGATGTGCCCATTTAGGGGAGAGGTAGCAGAGGCAGGGAAACATGACTGATAGCCCCAACAGGAGCACAAAGAGTGGTGGAAGGACAAGCGTGCTAAGCAGGAAAATAAACTACAGCTCTTTGAGAAACACAGTCACTAACCATCACTCCTTTGTCGTAGAGTCATGATATGTAGTGTAATGTAGAACACTGAAGTAGCAAGGTACACTCTGTCATGGGCAAGGTACACTGATGCTCTGGAGAGTGGTACAGTTTTAAGGTGAGGGACTGGGGAACTGAGGGACACTGATGAGGGGCATTGTAGCCATATGCATGCCAGAGAGCTCAGCATCACCTTCAGCTGCTGCTCCCTCCCCACCCAGTCTCTCATGACTGCCAACTTCTGGGCCTATGCTCTTTTCCTTGCATTGTACCTGGCCCTTTCTGCACATATCTGACTATTTCTTCATTGAGCCCCTCCTTTTTAATCCAACCCCTGCAGCTGAGCAACATTTCATACCCTGTCTTTGGGGAAGATACAACACTGATCACACCGCAGTGCAGCACTTGGGCATTCAGTGGGAGCCTGATGGGTGAAGAGAACGCATTACTGACAGGGTGAATAAAGCAAATAACTGAGCTCATCCTCACATTCAACAAACATTTATTAGTACAGAAACGAATAAGGCTTGGGCCCCTGTTCTCAGAATGCTCGGTGCAGAGGGGCAGACAATCACAAAGCTACAGCAGAATAACAGTAGAATAAGTACCATCACCGAGGCATGAACAAAGTACTTTGGAGGCACAGTGAGATATTAAGGAAGGTGGGGGAGGAACAATTTTCCCATTTATACCTGCCTAGAGAGTTCAGGGAAGGCTCTAGGGAAGTCATCTATGAGTTGGGTCTTGGAGAAGGAGAAGTAAAAGCCACCACGTGAATAGCCAAGGAAGGAGCCCTGCAGGCTGGGGCTCAGAGATATGTAAGTAAGGCCAGGTAAGAGGGAAACCAGACATGAGTGACAGAATAAGGAAATAAAGAGGGAATAAGCAATAACCAGGACTGCTAGGCACAAACCCATAGCTCTACTGTGGAAATTAAAGGTATTGTTTCCCCCATGGAAGGGAAAGTGGCGTGTGGGAGGTCCTCAGATATGGGTCCCTGCCACTTCCTCAATCGAGCCATGCGGTTCAAACACCAAAGCCAGGGTTCACAGTTGTGATCTAATTTCTCTAAAACCACCAAATTATCCAAAGCCCACTTTCAGAAGCTAAGAATTTTTATGAATAGTGAAATTCTAAATGGGAGAGTTCCTAAAGTTTTCATTTTTCCCAGATGCAGTTGATTCTAAGAAGTTTTACTTCCTTCGGGAAATAAGATGAGGCATGAAATCTGAAAGGGGAAGGTGGGTTAGTATTTAGGCCTTGCAGCCATGTCACAATTGGATGGTAAAGTAATGGTCTATTTTTCCAAATTATATTGACTTATTGAGATAAAACTCAAATATATATATGTATACATATACATATATACTCACAAACTCCTTTGTTATTGCTGCTTCCTCCATTCACTTTTTAAATACCCATCTATATTTTAATATGCTTAAATAAAAAATAAAACCTTTTAAATGTTTCATTTTACAACTTTTTTCTATTTGAACTCTTTAATTTTTTCATTTGTAAACTTTAAAATATTTCTTAAATTTTCTAAAATTTGTAAACTTCAAAATGTTTTTATCCTTATTTATTTAAAGTTTTAATTTAAATCTCTAGAGTTGAACTTACTAAGGTTCTTTTTATATCTTATATTCTCCACTTTCTTCTCCATTATTTTAAACTATTGATTTTTAAGATTTTTCTTTGTTCCTAACTCTAATTTTTTTAAATGTTTATTTTACTTTTCTGGTAAACTTTCATTCTTAACCCGGTCCTTGTTTTATTCATTTTGCCCTTTTTAAACCATAGGAATTTAAATTTTTTCTGTTTTTAAACATTTTAATAATTTTGAAGCTTTTTAAATTAAAAATTTTAATTTTTAAAATATTTATCTTAAAAATATCAACCTAACTTTTTTCAACATTTACAAATTTTTTCTTTTAAAACTTTTTTAAAAATTTTTTATTTTTAGATGTTTTTCTTTTAAAGCTTTTAAAATTTTCTTCTAAAATATTCTTTTTCTTTCAAACTACTTGGCTAGTCAGCCACAGCTGGAACACCAATTGTGAAGCTTTATGTGAATGAAGGAATACTCCCTGATTCTCCATAATTCTGTGGAAACAAATTACATATAGTAGCATCAGAACACTTCTACTCCCACTCTCCCCACCTAAAACATTCTTATTTAATTATGCTTTATATGACCATTTTCAACCTTTCAACCTCTTCTCCCTCTCCCCATTTCTCAAGGATGAATGATCACTAGTTAGTATTCATTTTTTTTTTCTTCCTACAGACCCATGGGTCATGGCAAAATTGGTTCTTTATATCAAGGTACTGGTTGTCATCATAGGTGTTACTGTCTTTGTCCATTCCAGGTAGGTTTTTGTTACTTCAAGAGGTGCTCATTGTTGTAAGGATATTGTTGTCATTGTCAATTCCAAGTAGATTTTGTCACGTCAGAATCCTTGCCTAATCATTTTTTTCTGGTAAGTGGTTTGGTAAGACTAGTCTTTCTCTAGACTCTGTTTGTGATAGAACAGTAAATACCCTTCACTGTAGAGTAAGTCCTCAATGGTAGCCTTGGTGATGATGGCATCATCACAGCTGAACCACTGGTCCTTCTGTTGCCGGATAAAGCTGGTATAGTGGCCACTTTCCAAAGTTCCATGGTGATTAATCACTGCAAACAAGGAATACTTATTCTCATTGGGCATACAATCTGTTGGTGGCTGACTTTCTATCATTCTGCTCTCCTTAGTAGAGGCCAAAAATGGAGTCATGTCCAGCTCCAAGGGAAAGGAGATGAAGGTATTAATCTTTCGCCTCTGTTTGCCTACATGTTCAAATCGCTTGAGATGAAAACAGGCCACAATGGGTAATTTTTTCATTGTGAGCTGTTTGATTGACTCTTGGTAGCTTTGGCAATGACTGCATTTGAATTTGGCAGTGCTTCCCAGGTGCTCTGGTCTTGTAAACCACTGTAGACAGTCTGTGAGTGAGGGGATTCCTGGTACATGGGCATCCCGGCTCATTGTGCTGTCAGCCCTCTCTGGGCTCTGGGAACTGAACGTGCCACAAGAGCCAGGCAAATCCAAACTGATGTCCCAGCATGGGTCTATGGTGGTGGAGACACTATGACAGGCTAGACATGTGACATCTGACTGCAGGCCACCTGTAAAGATTTGGTCTATTATGCAGTTACAGCAGTTGGGGTTACTGGCTTCCTGCCCAACACTATCATCTTTGCTGTGTCTATGTAGCACATCTAATATTGCAATAAGGAACTCGTGGGCATCCTGCTGCCTGTACCCTGCTAAATGTTCTGCATGAATCCATATCAGGTGCAGTAACTTATAAGGAATGTGAGGAGTTCGGCTCCCAGAGTACATAGCATGAAAAAGTGAAGACATTTCACAGACCAGACACAAGCTGGGGCTTGTCATTATACATTTGTGTTTGTCAGAGAGGAAGAAATCTTTCAGTAGAGGAATATGAGTAAGTGCCTGGACAATACAATTCATAAAACAGGTGTTTCCAAGATTGATTAGCCCTCTCAGGCCTACAGTATAGACTGACTTTTTTCTCCTCTTTTTCTTGGGTTTCACCAATTTTGGCTCCTGTTCCTTTGTCTCACAGGTCGATTGCTTCTCTTCAGCCTCTGATGTCATAAACTGTTGATGAGAAATGTCTTTTGAGCTGGAAGTTAGTAATTTCAAAATTTTCTCTTTTGTTTCTTTGGCAATCTGTTCTATGTCTTTGTCATACACGTAATCCTTACACATAAAGCAATACACAACCCCATGATAGACGTCTACAGCTAAATTGTGCTGTTTCATTTCTGCATGTTTGTGAATATGTTTCTCAGTAAAGCAGCCAAAAAAGACACATGAGAGACAAGAGTGGAGTCTGTTCATATGAGTACTACATATATGACAGATGCATGACTTTGCCTTACGTTTCCTAGTCTCCGGGGTCCCGCTCCAAACGAAACGTTGGTAAATCAGCCTCAGGTTCTTCTGCCAGTTCTTAGCTACTTTAAAGCTCTCCACATGAGAGCAGCCTGTGGGACCCTGATCAAACTCGACCTCAAGCAACCAGTCCCCTAAGCCGCCTTGATCCCCAGAGCCAACCAGGTCATAAGAGCTGCTTTTCTGAGCCTGGGGCCTAGACCCAGGTCGGGTTCTGCGCCGGGATCTGCGCCGGGCCCTGAGCCGCGGTGGGGGCGGCGACGGCGGCGGCGGCGGCGGCGGCGGGTTCGAGGGCCAGGCTGAAGGCGGAGGTGGGGTTGGGAACCCAGACTGGCCTCGGGAGCGGGCCCGGGGCTGGGGCCGAGGGCGGGGCTTGCGGGGAGGACACACGGGCGAAGAGTTACTGTGACAGCGAGGGGGGGTTGAAGGGAGCACCTTCTCGTCGCCGCCGCTGCCGCTCCACGTCAAGTACTCCTCTGGCGCGGGCTCACGCTCCTGTAATGGCTCCAGCTTCATCTCCTCATCTTCCAGTTCCCCAAACGCCTTCGCCGCCCCCAAGGCCTCCTCCTCCATTTTCCCCGCCTTCTCAGCCGCCTCCTCGGGCGAGGCTCCTCCCCCACCTCCCGAGCTCCAGCGGGCCCTGGAGTCTGAGGACAAGGAACTTTCTGGAACCTGGGCCATCAACTCACTGCCCGTCCTGAGAAGCAAGGCGTCTGGAAACGAGCTGCGACTGTAGATGGAAGGAGACAGGGACTTCTGTGAATGATAAGCCCAGCGTCATGGCCGCGGCGCGCCGTTAGCGCCCCCCGGACCCCTCCCATCGGCCCTTGGGCTCAGCCTGCGGCTGCTGCGGGCCCCACCCACTCAACTGGGAGGCTCCGCGAGCTGGTGTGGAGACCGCGGCGGTTACCAGGTTTAAAGGCGATCAGATCATGCGGGGCGGGGGGCGACTAGGAAGAGGAAGAAAGCGACAGCGATGGGGTGGGAGATGGCCTGCACTCTGGGGAGGAAAGGACGAAAACTTCATTAAAAAAAGGCGCCACCCTCTGACTGCCTTTTCTGCGCCTTGCGCAGCCTCGCTTTGATACAGCTTCCTCTGACGTTCTTTCCTTGTATCCTAAAAAACACTTGTGGCAACATTTTATCTTAAAAATGGCTGAAAGGAGGCCACCTTCGGAAAATGAACTCAGGGGAAAAAAGTGTTCCCCTGCTCCTACCTTACCTAAGCTTCTGTGACACAAGTGTGTTCCACCTTCCGCCGCTGCCCCAAGCGCACGTTCAGTCCGGCTGGCTCTGGCGCCCTCTCACGCTCTTTTGCGCTTGCACTCTCACACCCCTTTTCTTGCTTCTGCGCCCTCACTTCCTATGATTTATCCCAGAAATCAGATGCTTTCCCCTCCCTCCACGCGTGCGCCACCCCATAACCACCCCCTTCGTCAGTGCGCGACCCCCGAAGTCTCTGCCCCCCCCCCCACACACACACCAAAACCCCCGGCCCCGCTATGTGTTTAAAAATTTAGGTTACCTTGGGCCCCAGGCGCGTGATACAGAACGTCAGCAACTGCGGTTGTCCAGGCACTCCTCAGCCAGCCATCTCTCCTGACCTCTCCTCAGGACTGGTCACAAGGGAGCCGCCCTTGGTCCCTCCCCTCTCAACATGCAGGCCCCTAACCCTGATTCTGCCCTCCTGCAGTGATGAATGGCACCACTGTCCCCCACAAGCACACAAACCTCTCCCTGGAACAGACTATTAGAGGCAACAACAGCAACACATTCTAGAGAAACCTCCTGGAATGGAGGCTCAGGGCTCCCCTGGCTCCAGCCCAGCTCTCTCCAGAAAAAGGATTCATTCTGGTGGGGGTGGGGACTTCCAGGGATGACAGGTTTCTGGCAGGAATCCCTCAGGAACCTGTCAGATTCTGATCTCTAACGGTGAAATGGAGAGAAGGATGCTATGATGGAGTGGGCAGGAGAGGAACTAGAAGCAAGGGCTTCAGGCTCACAAAGACCTGAACCCAGGCACTTGCTGGCTGTGTGGCCTCAGAAGAAACACCTACCCTCTCTGAGCCTTGGTTGTGTCATCTTTTAAACAAAAATTGAAATAAAAATCCTAAGTTGGTATGAGCACTAGATCACAGTATGCATAAAGAAAAAGTTCTTTAGGGCAAGTTTGATCTTTCTCACCTCTCTTTCTCAGTCCCCGCCTACAAATCAGCATACAGCACAGTGCCTGATACACAGAGTAGAGGAGGAAAGAACACTTTTCTCTTTCAGAGCACTCTCAAGGTTATTGCTCATCACTCTGAGACAGTTCATGCGCAGGAAGATGCATTAGCAAATGCACATGGAGCCTTTGGCTGTACTACTGCCCTGCGTTGTGCTGTGAGAAATGCAGGGCACAACATGCTGTGCCTCAAGGAGCTCATAGTCCAGGAGACTTTTCTGCTTGTTTGCTTGTTTGTTTTGAGAGATCCAGCATCCAAGATCACAATCCCCAGGAAAGCAGCTATCTCTGGAACTTGTTGCCCTTCCTGTTCAGTCCCAAGAAAATTACCACTTATCAGTGAGGATGTTTAATACTGCATTTACTCTCTCAGGGTCAGTCATGCACCTCTCCTCAAAACCTCAGAATTAGGACTCAACTCTGTTAGATGCAGAAATAGCATCCAGTAGATGCCTCCCCACAATAGATGTCAGGGACTTTAAACCTGGAATAGATATATGCAACTCGCAGTCATTTAAAGATACCCCGAGGAATACGAAGTTCAGAGGTCAGGTGTGTTTTTGTCTTTGTTTTTGTTTTCCAAAATCAACAATAATAAAACAGAGAGTTGGGCACAACATTCTGAGCCCAGGACCTTCACCACCGGGCTGTATTGCATCCCCAGAGGATGCCTTGGTCTGGGCCAACGCTTGTCGCCTCCCTCCTGGTTCCCCCCTGCTACCCCATCCAGCTCAAGTGTTACCTCCTCCAGGAGACCTTCTCAGATCCCCAAAATGAGGAGGGGAGAAGGCCCTCAGAGCACAGCAGCACTACCCAGGCAGGGCCCACAGCATGTAAGGAGGAGCCTGTTGGGTCCCTCCGTTTGGACACCAGCCCCAGCTCCCCACCATTCTAGCCCTGCCCCTTTGTCAGCAGAAAGAGGCCTACATAAAGAGTCCCATGCAAAGAAACAAGGTGTCCCATGGGAAAGTAGTTCAAAGAACTTCCAAATCTCAGTCACATCCAAGTACCCAACGGGAAAGCACTTTGGAATTACAGACTGGTTTGCGCA